GGAAGCAGACCCAAGGATATGTCTGATGTGCAGTATACATCTGAAGACTGATGAGTCTATAACCGATCGAGACTCGCCCTGTTCTGGAGTTGCATATGTAACGCTGAATAAATTAAGATTTAAACTTATTATCATCAATCATCCTTTTAAAAGAAACTTACTAGGCATGTATTTAATTCCAGCACTCGGGTAGCAGAGGCAGGATTATTGAAAGTTTGTGGCCTTTTGGTTTAAAGTTCCAGACCAGCCAGAGCAACATGGCATGACTAGCTCCAGGGAAAAAAGCACAAAAGAAGAAAGGGGAAGGGAAAGAAAGAGTAAAGAGTGAAAGAAAAAGAAATCCGCTATCTGTGGGTAATAAGGACCAGTTTCTCCCCATCTCCTCCTCACCTCTCCCTGAGCAATCATTAGTGTTCTTTATGGCCTTGCCTATATAATGGAAGCACAGAATACCTGATGTTTTTGTATGTAGCTTCTCTCGCTTTGCATGTTTTCAAGGTTTTACCTTATTATAACACATATCATACTTGTAAAAAAGATTTTATTTTATGTGTACTTTATTTTGCCTGCATATATATACTTACCTGGCACTCAAGGATGCCAGCTCCCCTGAACTGGAGTTAGAGATGGCTGTGAGCTGCTATGTAGGTGGAGGGAACAGAGCCTGGATCCCCCGCAAGAGCTGCTAGTGCTTTTAGCTGCTGAGCCATCTTTCCAGCCCCTTTATTTTATTTTTATTGCAAAATCGTAGCCTTTTGTATAGAAATACCATTTCTTATTAGTCCAGTAGTTTTAAAAGTACTTACAGTGTTCTTTCTAAAGGACCTGACTCAAGGTCCCTTGTTGTGTGTCTGCTCTGCAGTCTGTCTGCAGGCTGTTTTACTTTGCACTTATGGACCAGTTAAGCATCTTGGGGATCCAGGGAAGTTTTACTCTCATCATTGCTAAGAGCTGTGCATGTGGGTTATTCTGTTATAAAGTAAGGCCTGACCTTGAAACTTAAGTGTCATTCAGTATCTGTATTTGTTTTCAACTGTGTGTGTGTGTGTG